TTTTTTCCTCCTTTTTTCCTCCTTTTTTCCTCCTTTTTTCCTCCTTTTTTCCTCCTTTTTTCCTCCTTTTTTCCTCCTTTTTTCCTCCTTTTTTCTTCTTGCTCTCAAGGCTTTGGGGTGTTGGGTTATCACTTTGAAGTGATGATGAAGTCAGAAGTCACTTCAGAGGATCTGGGTTCTGATTCCTGGGTTGGCGCACACTGTTTTATCGGGAGTTTCAGGTCATTCCTCTGCAATGTGGTCTCTTTGCAGTATCTCTTTTCACTTTGCTTACCCTAGAATTGGGTAATGAGCTGCATTTTGAGGGGCTTTTGGGAAATGTGCAATACGCAGAACATGGTGGCCCTGCGTGTTCAGTGTGTCTTGTGCACGACAGTACGAGCTGAAACGGCCTCCTCTTTTCTTACCCTAAGGCTGCAGCCGGGTTGTGCTGTATGACGTTAACTGCACACGGTCTCTCCAGGTGTGCCAAGCATGCAGCTGGCGCTGAGAACGGTGCCCGTCGCCAGCAGCCCCTCCACGAAGGGCTTTTGAGGACACAGCGATGGACCTGGACGTCAACGCCAGCATGCAGGTTGGGATGCGGGTGGTCCGGGGAGCGGACTGGAAATGGGGCAACCAGGACAATGGTGAAGGCAACGTAGGCACCGTGGTTGAGATCGGTCGGACCGGCAGCCCAACCACTCCAGATAAGACGGTGGTGGTGCAGTGGGATCAAGGCAACAGGACCAACTATCGGACAGGCTTCCAAGGAGCTTACGACCTTCTCCTGTACGATAACGCGCAGATAGGTAGGTACGGCGCAAAGGGACATGCGGCATCTGCTGCTGCAGGGCAGTCTCCTTTGGCATGTCCAACACCTGCTTCACCTGCCACCTCCTGGGTGAAATCATAGAATCATAGAATGCTTAAGGTTGGAAGGGACCTCCAGAGATCATCTAGCGCAACCCCCTGCACACGCAGGGTCACCTAGAGCATGGGGCACAGGCTGCATCCAAGCAGGTTTGGAAGATGTCCAGAACCTTTCCACACCACTCCACCACCTCTCTGGGCAGCCTGTTCCAGGGCTCTGTCACCCTCACTGTTAAGAATTTTTTTCTTAAGTTCTTGTAGCACTTTTGGTGCTTCAATTTTGTGGCCATTTCCTCAATTCCTATCGCTGGCCACCACTGAAAAGAGGCTGGCCCATCCTCCTCACTGCCTCCCTTGAGGTATTTATAGACACCGCTCACATCCCCCCCTCAGCCTTCTCTTCCTCAGGCTGACCAGGCCCAGCTCTCTCAGCCTTTGCTCACAGGTCAAATGCCAGTATCTCGGAGTTGCAGCGGGGCTTGGCTCCTGAGAGCCTTTCGCTACCACTGCCCATGGACTGGTACCAAGCAGCAGGGCGCTGCCAGCCAGAGGATGGTGATGGATTCCCCAATGGCCATTGCCTGGGTACCTCCGTGTGCAGAAAGTAAAAATGTTGCTATTAGAGCAGCAAAACTTTGGACTGAGGGAGCTTCAGACCTGGGCTTGTTGGCATCAGGGTCTCTGTTCAGCAGTGAGCTTTTGGGTGAAGCTGGGAAAAGAGACAAAACTTTTGTTGAATCATATGTGAAAAAAATGAGGCTGCTCCTTTGCAGGAATTTCTGTTCACATTCTGTCCTTTTGAATCTTCTTCTCCTCTTTTGAATGTTGCCTTATAATTTGTTAGATTATATAAAAACAGCTGCAAGGTTTTAAACAGTAGAGACAAGCCCAAACTGCAGCTTTTAACACAGGCCTAATGTAGTAGAAAATAACACTTTGAAAGTCGGCTCCATTGCAAACTTGTTCTGAAAGCAGTCTTGCCGACTCAGAAAAAATGATTCTCCCTGTTTTGCTGCTGTGGTGGGAGAGAGCAGTCATATAAACCAGCTTCACATGCAAACACAGGTAATAACAGCATGGCCTTGTCCTAAGGCCTATCAAACCAGGGGAAAGGCAGCGATCGCAGGCTCAAGCTTGATGCCATCATAGTACATTTAGAGGGTTTTGATTGTGGCATCTTCAGTACGTGCATAGTATGTAATACTTCTGTTTTACCTTCTAATGTAGCTCTAGTAGTATCGTCTTGTTTCTCTGAATCTGTGTGGATGCTGTTCTGTTCTCCCAGGTGTCCGTCACCCTAACATCATTTGCGACTGTTGCAAGAAGCACGGGATACGGGGAATGCGCTGGAAATGCAAGATGTGTTTTGACTATGACTTGTGCACGCAGTGCTACATGAACAACAAGCACGACCTGCCTCACCCCTTCGAGCGCTACGAAACAGCGCACTCGCAGCCGTAAGTGCCATGCCGCGGGGATCTGCCTCACATTTATCAGCTCTATTTATCAGGCATTAATCGAGCGTTATTCGGCAGAATAATATCCAGCCTGATCTGATCTGTGTGACTTGTGGAGCTGACTGAGAAAGGGAGCAAGGTGCTCTCCTCTGCTAGCTGTGGTTCAATTTTGTGTTTGTTGGTTTTGTTTAGCTTTGGTCTTTGTTCTGCTCTCACTGGAGCAGTGCCTATGTATTTGGATCTTCTTTTTTTGACCTTCCAGCTTTTAGGGTCAACGTTGTCTCTATTCTGCTTGTTTACCATTTTCTCTCATTTTTCAGTGATCATCTTCAGAGCTCAGGACGTGCTTTGCTCTAAGTAGTGTGGTCCCTAACATCGTCGATCCCGGTTAGGAACAGAGGGTTAGAGAATGTGATCAGTAACAGTAAATTACTGGTAAATGAATCTGTTTTCTCCTGTTTTATTTTCCCAGAGTCCTGGTGAGTCCCCGACAGAATTTGACTCGTATCACATTGAAAGGAATTTTCCAGGGGGCAAGAGTAGTCCGTGGCCCAGACTGGGAGTGGGGTAACCAGGATGGTAAGCTTTTTTGCATGTCTTTTGTAATGTCGTCTTTGGGGAAAAGCATATGAACAGAGATGCTTTATATCTATTTATTTTTTTTAATCTGGATGCCTATTGCCATAGATAAATGTTAAGTTCATTTGTCAGTCTGTTTCAGCACCAGTTCAGGGCCATTAATACCTGCCAGTTTTCTTGCAGACTGAAAATATGTAAGGAGGACATCTTATATATTTTGGTCTTGCTTTTTTTTCTCCTTGTGTTTGAAAAATAAAAACATTATTAAACTGTATCTCATCAAACATCCCAGTACTAAGCAAGTTTCAGTGTGCTGGTCTCTGTGAATGCAAGTTGGATACTTTAGTGTCCCCTCTCTTTCTGTCAGGTGGTGAAGGCAAAACTGGACGTGTGGTTGATATTCGAGGCTGGGATATAGAGACTGGACGTAGCGTGGCCAGCGTCGTGTGGTCTGATGGCAACAAAAACGTCTACCGAGTGGGACACAAGGGGAAAGTGGACCTGAAATGTGTTGTGGAGGCACCTGGAGGCTTTTACTACAAAGAGCATCTCCCAAAATTAGGTGTGTGGAGGAAGTCTTCTGTTGGCAAATGAAGCTTTATGCTGGTGTACAAATCGCTTTTATGATCCTGACATGAAAACTATTCTGCTTGGAATATACAAAAACTGGAGGTAGTTCTATAATGTTCCTCCAAAATGCATACTCTTAAAAAAAAATTGTTCTGTCAACAACTACTTTCTTACAGGATGATTAGTAAGGCAGCTCAGTCTTGCAGTGGTGTAAGATCATGCAAGATAATCAAAAGCTATTACTGTATGTGTGTGAGTGGTGTTATTCCACCCTGCAGGAAGACCAGCTGAATTGCAGAAGAAAGAAAGCACAGATAGGCACCCATTCCAGCATGGGGACAAGGTGAAATGCCTGCTGGACATTGACATCTTGCGGGAGATGCAAGAGGGCCATGGTGGCTGGAATCCTAAGATGGCTGAGGTATGGTTCTGCTTGCTCTTTGAGCAGTTTAGCTTTGAGTAATTTACTCTTTTTTTGAGTATTCTTTGAGTAATTTATCAGTTGCTAAGTTAAACTACAATAGCCAGTTGCTAGGAAGGTGCCAGAACAACTGTGTAACATAATAGCTTCTGTTACTATATTGTGTTGAGCAAATAAATGCAGATCCTTCAGTGGTAGGACCTTGGAGTTGGATTTGTTTTCAGGTATATCTGTCTTGTATGAGAACTGAAGAAAAGCAAGCAACTATCATTAAAACAGATTTGGGAGTGCTGTTAGTCTAAATTAGAGGTACTGATTTATTTAGCCACCTATCCTTTGGTTGCCTGCTTTCTCCACTATTAAGCAATGTGATTTATTTAGGGAGTTTCCCTTGTTTGTTTTTGTTTTTGTTCTTTCCTCCCCTATCAAAAGTTCATTGGCCAGACAGGGACTGTGCACAGAATCACGGACAGAGGGGACGTGAGGGTCCAGTTCAACAGTGAAACCCGCTGGACTTTCCACCCTGGAGCCCTGACTAAGGTAGGTGTAGATGGGTGAGCTTGACCAGATCCCACAGCGCTTCAGGGAACAACTGTTAATTCATCTTGTTGTGTTAAAACACCATGTGCCATGGAAACGTGCTGCTGTTCTAAAAGCAGCACAGCTAGGGTCACTTTCCTGCAAGCTGCCAAAGCTAAACCAGGTGGCACCAGACTGTGGGAACTGGACTACTGGGTTTTCCATTTGGGAGAGTCATTGGATTTTAAATATTGGAAGTTCTTAAGGTAAATTTTATATCTTGATTTCAGCTTCTCTAATAAGACTGACAGTGATAAAGTTGCAATTCTTCTGCATCCTCTGCAGCAACCTCTCATCTGTGATGTATCATCCTCCATATCATTTCATTTCATTCTGTTTCCTTGCTTATTCTCTGTCTTCATGTTTTTCTGTCTCTTGTATCTCTTATTCAAACATCTCCCTGATAGTTCTGGATGGCCCAAGTCTTTATTCCAACACTTTAATCCAACAAAAGTGCTAATAGGCATGAGGGGAGCTGCTGGAAGACTACAAAATTCTGAAAGACTTGAAATATTTTTCTTCATATTATCAGCCTGCTCTGAATAGTGTGTTTTCATTCCTGCTTTAACAAGAAGATTTAACTCCCTTATTAAGGTGAATTATAATCTCCAGTGTTGAGTCTGGCATGGTGAGGGGATGCCATACTCTGGTAATGCCTTAGCTGGTGGGGCACTGGAGGCATGTGTATATATATTTTTGTTTGTGGTGATGTTTTTTGACTGCATATCCCCAAAGTTTGTAACTTTCTTTTTCTTGTAGCTCAACACGTTTTGGGTTGGTGATGTTGTCCGGGTGATAGATGATATGGAAACAGTGAAGCGGTTCCAACCTGGTCATGGGGAGTGGACAGATGAAATGGCATCTGTGAGTGCGCGTCATTGCTGGACAATCCAGTGATTTCCTGGGCTTCCCCATACAATCAGTAATGGTGATTGGGCTCACACTGCCCTCCCCTCTATACCCAGGCATTTCTGGGACTGTTGAGGCCTTGTGAGCAAAGAAGTGTTATTGCAAACATGAGAGTTACAAAGAAATGTAGTCACAGAATCATAGGCTGGATGACTTTGGAAGGGACCTCTGCAGATCATTTAGTCCAAAGTAACCAAAGTAATCATGTTCTCTTATCTTATGGCCTTCCTCATTCTCTGAAATGAGGCAGGAAAGCGGGTCTACTGGGAAAAGTAGCCTGATGAAACCAGTATGGCTATGGAGCAGAATACAGGCATCCTCGGGAGCAGTTAAATGCACAGAGGAGACCTTTCCTAATGCCAACTTTGTCAGTCATGTCAGGACTGTGAAAATCATGTTTTGTTGTTTCACCAGTTTCCTTCCCAGACATTTGCAATGTGTCCAGGAAATGCTTTTTGKGTATAACCTGTAACACAGGGGCTGCTAAACCCGCCTTACGTGCTTAAAATGGGAGCTGTCTGCAGTTGTGTTGCTATTTGGTGCCTCTCCTCGCACAGCGCAGCCTGCGAGGCCACTCCTAGAAGCGTTGTACTGGTTCTGACACGCAAAGGCAACTGTGTGTTCACTTTTAAAATCATTTCTCCCTTCCCTTTGCAGACACTAGGGCACATTGGCAAAGTGATCAAGGTGTATGGGGATGGAGACCTGCGAGTATCAGTTGGCGGGCAGTCCTGGACATTCAACCCAGCTTGTCTGACAGCCTATCAGAGAGAGGAGGAAGCCAACCTCATGACAACAGAGAACGCAAAGGAATCCAAGAGTGAGTGAGCAGGGAAAGGTCTTGTCCCTCTAGGGCGGAGGAGTGACTGCTCCAGGGTCACAACAGCCCCTTCCTTGGTCAGTGTTCAACTGCAGCTGTCTTGTCCCTCCTCAGATGGAGGAAGGACAAAAACCACCTCTGCTTAGGAAAGCAAAGCTGGTGTTTGGAGGAAAGCACAAGCTTTAGATATGTGCTAGAGATATTTGCTACTACCTTAAATTATATAAGTTTCCTGTTCTATCCCACTGAATTTTCTGTAGGAGGATAAAAGATACTAATCCTTGAATGCTTATGTACTATACTGCCGGGTCCTTTTGTGAAAGTGCTGTCAAAGTGAGGAGTATTTTTTTCATTCCAACGTGAAGTTGGACTTGCTGTCCATTTTGCACAACTGCCAATAAAACTTTCTATAGCCTCATCATCCTTGTTTTCTTTAGAGGTCAGGGTCATATAGGGGAGAAGAGAGTCACACACATGTCCACATTTACTTTGGCCCTGGTAACCTGAAGCTGTTCCGTTTTTCTTCCAGGTTCTTTGAGCACTGTTCTGGAGAAACTGCTATCCCAGAAGACAGAGTCCGACCATGCTGGGTGCTTGGTCATTTGGGCGGCACTCAACAACGCAGATAAAGTTCGGGAGCTGCTTCTGAAGTACCCAGACAAGGCAAGTCTTCAGGTCATCTTAACGGTTAATTTTTGTTGTGTTTCTTTAAAATACTAATGTAAAATTTTTGTAGCAGAGTGAGGAAAATGATGAGAGAGAAATGAAAGCTGCTCTTTCCTAAGCAGCTTTTTGTTGCATCTCTGCCCTTCTACAGGTTGACACAAAGAATCAGGGCAGAACTGCCCTGCAAGTCGCCTCCTATCAGGGGCATCTGGATGTGGTGAAGCTGTTGCTACAGGCACATGCTGCCGTCAACCTAAGGGATGAGGAGGGTGATGCAGCACTGCACTACACAGCTTTTGGGTAGGAGACCTTTCTTCCTTTGCTTTATCTCATACAAGACATGCGGGGGTGTAAAAGACTCCTGCAGATATAAATAAAACAGTCTGTGTGAGGAGAGTGTGGCAGAGCATGACTTTGCTCTGTTTTTTCTCATTGTTTGAAATTGGCCTTTAAGCTTCAGAGCCAAGTACATATCTTAATATACTAATCTAACCTTTTTTTAATAATGAAATGAGGTGGGGAGAGGATACAGAAATGGAGAAGTTCTGCTGCCTTACAGGGAGGAGCATTTATATCTGCGCAGCATGAAAATCTAATCTTTCTTCTTGCTTTTTAAATCAGAAACCAGGCAGAGGTTGCCCGCTTGCTTGTTAGTAAAGGGGCCAGCACAGACCTGCTGAACAATGCGAAGCGCACGGCGCTGTGTATTGCCGTTAACCAAGGATTCACAGATGTGGTGCGGGTCCTCTGCGAGCTCAACTGTGATGTCAACCTCCCGGTGAGTTTGGGATTGTAGATGCTTTTTCCTTCTCCTTCCCTTCTGTGGTGAAGAAGGAAAAAGAAAAAAGCAGAAAGCAGTGCAGAATTAGAGCTATTTTGAGCTATTATTCAGAATTGGAGCATTTTAGGGCACATGCATATGATGATGGGACTGGATTTTGCAGGGTCAGTCTCTCCAAGCTATTTAGGAGTGTTAGCACTTATTCACTCAGGAGATGGACTTAAGACCCGGTTAACTGATACCACACAGGTTATGTACCTAGGCTAGGCGTGTCAATGACTTCTGGAGGTTTGCTCTGGAGTTGATGTGACTTGGTGACACTATGTCTTGTCTCAAGCAAGGCACCCTGTTTGATTCAACACTGTGAGGTAACCTGTTCTCTGCTTTTTTCTCCTCCTATAGGATTCTCAAGGAGACACCCCCCTACATTGTGCCGTTACTGCTGATTACAAGGTTATCATTGAGATCCTCACTGAAGTGCCCAACATTGACTTCACTGTCCAGAATTGTCAAGGCTTCAACCTGCTCCACTATTCTGCTCTAAAAGGGAACAAACTGTAAGTGAACAAACCACGGTGATAATCCCTGGGATACTCCCAGTCACAATCTTGCTAAATCCGTGTGAGACAGCTGTGAATCCTAGCAAGAAAGAACACCAATCCGAGAATAGGGGAAGTCACAACCCATCTGGGAGTGAATTCCTTGCTGTATTAGCAGCAATTCGGAAGCAGGACATGAGCAGAGTGTGCACATGGTGCTGGGGAGAAACAGGCGTCAGTCGCTGCATGGAACATTCATAGATACTGAGCAAAAGAGGCAGGCCTGTCTCTTCTCTGTTTCCCTTCATGAAAAATGACATTTCTGACTCTGGTTAACCTCTAACACTCTAGAGCCGTCAAGATGATTCTAGCAAGAGCTCGACAGTTGGTTGACTCCAAAAAGGAAGATGGTTTCACTGCCTTGCACCTTGCTGCTCTCAATAATCACAAAGAAGTGGCTGAAATTCTCATCAAAGAGGTAAAAGCAAAACAAAAATCCACCCCCAAAAACCCTCATTTCCTCAGTATATCAAGTTAATGCTGGACTCATAAACACGACTGTCTCTCTCATGAACTGCCATTGGTGCCCAGAACTTAAAGAACAGGGCTTGACATTCCTGGTGATATTTTCTTTTAACATTCAGAAAGGGAAGGCAATCTTGTAGTCTAGAACAAAGCAGGGCTTAGAGGTGGATCTTGTGAGGAAAAGTTAGGTAAGTGATGAATAAGTAAGGAAAGGACTTTGGAATAGCTCTTTCCTGCTGATTAAGGAAAAAAATGTATTCAGAACATTATCTCACAGAGTACAGGTCAAACTATTAAACTAGGCATCTAAAACTAACCTTTAAAAGCTCTCTCTGCTTTTTATCCCTTGCAGTTGCCTTCTGCAGATTTGGCAGAAGGGCAGAGCAACCCAGGATTCAACAGATTTTTGCTCAGTGGCGCAAACAAAGAGAGGAAATCAACAGGCAGCTAGGAATCCTTTAAGGAAGCAAGGCCAGGACTTTGCTTGGAGTAGTTCCAGGATTTATGTCAGGAAATTGTCGAGCTGTCATCCAGCTCATTTCAAGGACAATGTTGGTTGTCCTTTTTTTTTTTTTAAAGTTAGATATCTGAGATGTCTGGACTGTATGGCCAAAATACAGGGGACAGGATCATGTAACTCTAGGAGTTCCCTTTACTGCTCTGTCCTGGTGATGAAGTTGATACTTGGGGCTTCAGCAAGCACTAGAGCTGCAGCACTGTCAGCCAAGCTCTGCAACAACAGCTCTGTCTGTGTGATCATTCTCCAGGGTCGCTGTGATGTCAACCTCAAGAACAACCGGAACCAGACACCGCTGCACTTGGCTGTCATCCAGGGACACGTAGAGATGGTGCAACTGCTGGTGAGTGAAGGTAGTGACGTCAACGCTGAGGATGAGGATGGGGACACAGCAATACATATTGCTCTGGAACGGCAGCAGCTGATGTCAGTCATGATGGAGAAGCATGAAGGAGAGGTTGGACTGTCCCTGCTTTCCAAGGTAAGCTGGGCACAGGAGAAATTCCAGAAATTCCTAAGGGCAGGGAAATGCATGACAAAGGTGGAATGACTGCAGACAGGAGGACCCAAGGGGCCAGAGGGAGGCAGGAAAATTGTATAATGCCAGCCCAGGCAGGAAGGTGGGAACAGAATTTTTTGCTTGTAGGAAAGGAGCAAATATGTCCTCCGAGGCCCCAATATCTTAATTCTGTGGTAAGAAGCTATGCTTGGCTTTCAGCCGGGAGGCTGGAGACTACTGGGGAAAAAAATACTTCTTATAGGAGAAACAGTTTTCCAATGTAGAGCAAGTTAAGTACTCATATAATGGGTCCCCCGGTAGGGTCTTCTGACCAGAATTGGAATCTGCCTGCCTTTTTTTCTTTGTAAACTTTTGGAGATACTTTTTAAACTTTTGTCTGAAGGTCAAGTAGTCCATTCTGTAATAGTAGACAGTACAATAGCTACATTACTTGCCTGCTCTGTTGAAAGATCTATGTTTGAATCCTCACTCTACCTTATCTGGAAACTTTGCCTTCCACGGGGTGTTCTGTAGGGAATGGGTCAGAGGGAATGTGCCCCTTTTCCTTCCTTTGCTTCTTGTTCAATGCAGAGCAAAAACAACTTTGTTTTAATGAAACCTTCCAACCTCAATCATTCTGTGATTCTGTGAAACAGAATTCTTGTTTTCTAGCCAGTTCTAGGCAGGATCTGTCAATTTACAAAACCACAAGTGCAGTGGAAAAAAAAAACCCAATGCTTTTCAGCATTTCTGTTAACTCTGAAAGCTAAACTTTGCCTCTATACCATGGCTGATGTGGTGCAGAAGAGAGGAATTTCTCTCTCAGTCTGATTACAGGTCACTTCAGGAAAGGCTTAAGATTGAGAAATCAACACATGATATGCCACATCCTGGAAGCTTAGTCTGGTTCTTTGGCAAAGATATTAAATTAGCCCTTCCATATATATACCAATATGTGCACACACCAGATCTGCGATGTAAAGCATGAGTGCAAATATCATTGCATTTCAGACCTAAATGCTTCCCCTCTGATTTTACATGTGCTGATCTACATGTCAAATGAAAGTATTTAACCTAGAAGTAATTAGTATTCCTCATTTCAAAATTAAAATGCAAAAGGGAATTGGCAAATGAATGAATATTGCAGGGAACAAAATGAGGATGAGAGGATATTCAACAGGTCCCCCTGTGTTAAAAGACTTGATTTGCCAACTTTCTGCAGAATCAAGTACAGAGCAAAGCTGCATAATGGAGCCTTTTTTTTTTTTTTTTCTATTAATAGTGATTGCATCTCCTCTTGCTTTAGCTGCAAGCTTCTGGCTTCCTTGGAAATGTGGAGCTGAATATTGGAACCGCAATTGCATGTTACTTAGCAGAAGAAGGAGCAGATATTAATTATGCCAACCACCGTGGAAAGTCTCCTTTGGATCTCATCACAGATGGAAGGATTATCCAGATCATCAAGGACTTCTCACAGAAATTCAGGTGGGCCGTGTTCTGTGTTCCCAGTCTACTTCCCTGTGAAACACAATGTACTGGATGTCACAGCTCTTTGGTGTCACTCAGAGTGGCTGTCCAGGATGGCTTGAAGCTTCTCTGAGACACTACATGTCAGTCTGAGCACTTGCAGTTTCATCTGGAGCTGTCTGCTTGCTGGATTCTTCTTCCAGGATACGATTTGAAATGGATGACAGCAGCAGCTGAAAGCTGCTCCCTATTAATTGTACCCACTCTTTCCTTTAGGTATTTTTCACCAGCTGTGACAGTGGCAGCTCTGCTGATGGCTGCTGCTAGTCAGATGCAGAACCCCAGCTCCTGGAGCCAGGGCAGTCGCGTAGTGCTTCATGCTGCCTGAGTGTGTGCTGCACTGTGTGCTTGGGGAGTGTTTGCCAGGGATCCGTGCCCTTCCAGCTGGTGCCTGAAGGAGAGAGCCTCCAACCTTGCCGTGTGTTCGCCCTTGCAGGGAGCAGCAGGTTTCCTCAGAGGGCCCAGCCGCCGTGTGCAGCCTGCGCCGTGTGCACACCACCCCCAACACCATGACCAACCTCAGTGTCTCCGGCGCAGCAGCCCCCAGCGAGTGCCTCGTCTGCTCTGAGCTCGCGCTGCTCATCCACTTCTTCCCCTGCCAGCACAGTATTGTGTGTGAAGGTCAGTCTCTTCTGATTTTCTCGCACGTTTTTTTCCTCTCTCATCCAATTTTCCTCCCTTTTTGGGCTGAACTGTGACCTGAAACAACCCTGACACGATTTCAGCAACATCCTTGTAGATGGGATGCTCAAAGTCACCTATGGAAAGCACAGTGTCTTCTAGGCATTTTTTGATGAGGGCTTAAGGCAGCTTAGCTCGTGTTTAGAGATGCCCTGGTTGATTCATAAAAAATCCAGGAAGTACGAAGATTGTTTAAAAGCTGATGTTCTTGTGTGTGTCTTCCTCTTGCTTTTGGTATAGTGTACTTAATTGTAATTTTTTTATTATCTCATTTGTGGTAGAATGCTCCCGGAGAATGAAGAAATGCATCAAATGTCAAGTGACAATAACGAAAAAAATCAAACAAGGTACGTTTGCTGTTCTGTTGTGCAGTGCTGTAGCCTGGGAAGGGTTTTCACAGGGTTTATTTGGGCAGCATCAATGAGCCTCAGTGAAATAAGCATAAGAAAAGGGTTTGTTTTTGCACACGTTGGATTGCCCAGCTTCAGAGGGGCAAAGTTAGGTTATCTCCAAGCTGTCATAGGCAAACTCAGGCTGCGGAGACAGAACAGGAGATTTGAGGAAGCCTGTCCTGTAGCTGTCTACTGAAAGCAAACATGAGGTTCTCCTTGTGCCAGCCTAATCCTTTTGTAGACAATGATTTAACAGTGAAAATTAGTGAGAAAGGAAAAATTATTAATTGTGAAAGATTGTAAAAGCTGAGATTACGGTACCTCTACAGGACTAACCAACCATCTATGAATCACTGAGCTGAATTACTTTGGTAAAGCTCTTAAGACCACTTTTGAATAGGGATTGTCCTGTCTCCCTATTGCTCTGTGCCCAGAGGGGGACACAGCAGCAAGAAGGTAGCAGGTTGCACACTGTAGCTTTTCAGTAGAGCCTGTGAGAGTGGATGTCTTTCTGGCTGTGAGCACTTGGTGCAAGTTTAGAGCAGTGCATGTGGAAACTGCATGTCCTGCTGCAGCTGATCTAGGTTTATGTTTTCCTTCACTGGCATCCCAGCTCTAATCTTGTGATTTGATGCCTTGGACAAAAGTACAGGGAGCCAAGAATCTGTCATGGACCATCAGACACACAGAGCTGGCTAAGCCCAAAATCCTCTTTGGAACTTCTTAATGCAAAAAGGAGCAAGTTCACCTGCCAGTAGACAGGAACATTGTCTCTGCTGTGGCTACTAAGTGTCAGCAGAGTAGACAGCAGAATTGCAGATAGGAGATCTGTATGGAGATTTCCATATAGGAGGAACCAGCCTGGTTTCTGAGCGTATGAACAGGATTTCTCTGCCACTGATGTTTAGGGAGTGTGTGTCTTTAGTATCCTCCTCATCCCCAAACTTGCTACAACCTTATGTTGTAAGTATCAAGTGATTTGAAATCACTTCTTGCACCACTGAAGTATATAAGGCAACCTAAGCAAAGATTTAGGAAGAGAAAATGAAGTGACCGTGTTAAGTTGAAACCAGGAGGTGTCTATTTTCCTAGGTTGGCAATTGAACAAAACTTGCGGTTCTTTTATTTCATCTGAAGATGAAATAAAATATTTAGAAACAAATATCTCTGCAAGGTTCACTGAATTTTGCCTATAAAACTGACTAGATAGTTTTGGGTTTGTAGCTTGATGCATGGAGAAGTCAGCTTAAGTGAATTCACATGATTTCTTCTTGCTGTGCCCTGAAAGGTTTGAGCCAAAATTTGTATTGCAGATGTAAAGAGGAGACTGAGAGGAGATTGAACTACAGCATTGTAAGGATTTCTGAGCCTGTATGTCAGAGCATCACAACCACCTCTGAAAGTCTGACTTCAAGGTAGCAGCAGATATTGCAGAACAAGGAGGCAGGACGTATCACAAAGTGGTTTTTGCTTCATTTTTTTTGTTCTTAACTAAACACACACAAAAAGCTGAGCAACAGAACAGAGGAAAGTAATTGGCTTTTATATGAGGAACCCTTGGATCAGGCTCAGTGAAGAGAGTTTAGTCTGACCTAATTGCCTCTCTTGGGGGCAAATTCTGATGAAGGGGCACTGCATAAGGGAACAGGCAGGGCGCCATGCTCACTAACTCTCTCCCTGCCCTCCTGCCCTGCAGACAGCACCGAGGTGGAGTGCAGCCCAAGCTCCGAGTCCACGGAGCAGAAGAAGCTCATGGAGGAGCTGCAGAGCCGCTACCGGCAGATGGAGGAGCGCATCACCTGCCCAATTTGCATCGATGACCAAATCAAACTGGTCTTCCAGTGTGGACATGGCTCTTGCCCAGACTGCAGCACAGCTTTGACCGTGTGTCCCATCTGCCGGCAGGCTATCCGGGAGAGGATCCAGATCTTCGTCTAAGGATATGCTTACTTCTCATTCCCACCTCCCTCCTTTACTTCCTTTTTGTTTGCATTTTAGATGAGAAGCACTGGTCTGTGTGATGTGTTTGGTTACATGCAAAGCCATCCTCAATGAGAAGAGGCAAATAACAAGTGTGACTTGGATAGAAGCAGAGGGAGCCCCCTCTGCTCACAATACTATATGTGCAAGCAGTGGTGCTTGAGGGCAGACTGTGCCGCTTTCTGTGCTCCTGATGCATCAGAATGACATGAAATAAAGGACACTGACCTGTACTCTGAAGGCAGAAGGGACTTTCAGACCAGAGGCAATTAGATTTTCATGCACAGATGTTTTCAAGGGCATCCTGTCATCCTTGCAGTGTCAGATTTGCAGCCTTGCATTGCTCTGAAATACCTTCTGCAAGCAATGGCAAAGCAATACTCTCGTACCTCCCACGAGGAGCTATCAGAAGAGAGCAGTTACGGCCTTCAGTCCTCCCAGGGGCCTGTCAATAAACGAAAAGCGGTGTCAGAAGATGATACTCTCTGAACTTGCCCTTGTGTGCCTGACAACATCTCGGACTGACAGAGGCCAATCTGGATGCGATGAGATCCTAGCACCAGAGCTTGTGCCTTAGAGACGAAGCAGTGAGCAGCGACTGGAGAACACAGGTTGTTGCAAGAAGCACTTCTAACCTCTCCATGACGCTCCTCCTTCCCCCTGCCCCAGCTGTGTGTTCAGAGACTCCTGAGCTTTCTGCCCATGATGCCAAAGTCAGGTGGTAAAAACTCCAATCAAAGTGTAAAGAGAATAAATAGTCATAATTAAGAAATGAGGAAGAGGGATTTCATTTTTGTTTCATTGTTTTGCAGCAAAACTTAATAAAATAAAGTTTATATTTTCCTGAACATTAAAATGAATGTGCAAACAGGAGTTAAAATAAGGCTCCATCTCTCCTGTGTTATCCTATACTACTGGCTGATTGGAGAAATAGTTAATCTGTCCTGTAAGGTAACTGCTGGCAGAAGTGACAACCTGTAGGGCTAGTGTRCAGGCCTGGGTGTGTGTTTGTGTGCGTGGTGTGACTTTACTGATACTGTTACACCTTGCAGGTAATATTTAATTTAAACAGGAATACTGCGTTCCTCTATTATCTTGGCTCAAGATGAAAGGTAGGAGGGAAAGAGGTAACAGGAAAGAATCACAGAGAATCCCAGAATGGTTGAGGTTGGATGGGACGTCTGGAGATCATCCAGTCCAACCCCCTGCTCCAGCAGGGACACCCAGGGCAAAGGACACCCGGTCGCATCCAAGTGGGTTTGGAAGAGCTGCAGAGAAGGAGACTCCACAATCTCCCTGGGCAGCCTGTGCCAGGGCTAAGTGGAAAGAGGTAACAATTAAACAAACAAAAAACACCAAACCAACCAACCAACCAAACAAAAAAATTTGTGCGATATATGGTAGTTAAAGAAGCATTTATTCCTTGGTAGAAGCTTTCTGGTAAAGTCCTGATAAAATTTTAAGTCACAATCCCAGGTTCCTGTAGTTAATTCTTCCTCTAAATATTCAGTTGAGGTTATTATACTTTCAGTGGATTTTTCTTTTTTTTCATACAGTGCTACAAAATGTCTCAGATTTAACTCTTTTGTTTGTTTGGTCATATCTTAACACCTAAGCTTTGGTAATGTGAGAGATGCAGACACTCATCTACTCTATTAATATTGTTTCCTGGCAGTTAATGATGGGGTAAATCCCTATTGAATAAACCAGACACTCTCTTCCTAATTTGCAAATGAAAAGGACTCTGAAGGGGCTATTTTTAAAGTACAAGACTGTCTTCTCATTGTATTTCTAAGCGTTGGCCTCCAAAACAGTTGTCTTCCCTAAAGGAAAAAGGCTGTAGAAAGATTGCAGTCCTCAACTTCCAAGCTTTGTAGCTGCTGCAGAAAATGTGAAATTAATTCTATTTTTTTAATATAAGTTCTCTTTCTTTCTCATGATCTTATTTGTATATCAAGGCCAAGGTAGAGATGTAATTTTCCACAGGATACAGTCTATACAAGCTTTAGCACTACTGAAATAGTTTTAAAAATAGCTTTCTGTTTGGGACTAAGCTTTTTCATTTCCTTGTTCCCGCTGTGATTGCTTTTGATGTCTTAGGAGTAAGAGTTAATCTGCTAAGCACCATTTTGACCCATTCATTTTTCCAGTTTGAAGAAGGGAATTGCTGCAGTGCAACAGGGAGAAAGCAAGATGGTCAGAGAAGCCTCAGAACGAGGGACACCAGAAGGCAAGAGGATGGTGGTATGTGCCAGGTCCTTCCTGAAAACATTCAATTGTTCATGCAGCCTTAGCCATCATTTTAAAATGAATACAATTTTACCTGCTCTTTATACCTATTTCCAGTTAGTGTCTAAATGATGCAGGTCCTTCTTCTGCTTAAATGCAGTATAGAAGAATTTCTGTTGTTCCCTTGCAATGCAAAAGAGACTCTGCTCTGTTCTCCCTCCTTCTCACTTTTGGTTGGCCCTCGGGAAGTGCTTCAGAACAAAACTGGCCACTTTCATTTTCTTGCTTTTTTAATGCATCTGTCACTTAAATTTTTCCTGGCAGAAGGTGTTCTAATCCAGCTGGGAGATTGGTATTTGAGTTGGCAGCTGCTCTTATGAGCGTGGCTTTTTGTGCAATTGGATTTTCATGGAAAATCGCTCTTAAAAATGTGCTGTTATTCTGGGCAGTGTAAGGACATAAGCCTGCAAGGAGCACAAGCCTCTATGTCTGTCTTTATGCTTTGTAAAATCTGGGGATTATGCCCCATTTTCATATAATTGCTATGGTGCAACCAAGTAGAACTGTATTTGCAGTGTTTTCTTTTGCATATTGTGAGGCAGGGCAAATAGCTCTGGGAATAGCTTCCATCTGTGTCCACAGGAGCCTCGCTTCAAGCACAGCAGGGTGACAGTGCCTAAAACTGGAACCACAAAATTATACTTCTACCACAGCATATCAGCCAGCCTCAGCTTCTCTGGTTATCTTAGTCTACTGTCTCTGCAGGGCAAAAATTGATGTAAGTTTTGCCAAGAAGAGCACTTGCACGAGGACTAAGGTCCACTGCTTTTCTTTCAGTCTCCAAACCCTTAAGCTGAGGATTTGTTGATTTAAAAGAACAATTCTGAATACAGAGGTTTCCTTTTCCTCCACCAAGTCCGAGTTCAGTTTTGTCTTGCTTGTTCACTGGCCACACGCTGCTAAGATCTCTGCAGCCCGAATGGCTTAGGGGCCAAAAATTCTCCCACAAATAAAATAGCTTATTCTTTACATTCCCTTCATGCTCAGCAGATGGGATAAAGACATATTGCCTTGTATTTTCCCCATTCTGCTTACTGCTTTATCTAGAGGATGAAGTTATTAGCTGCTGTGTCTCCTTTTTTTCATATTAATTTCTGTCTTCAATGTTAAATCACATTCTCTTTGTAAAGCCTTCCTCTGTCCAGGAAAAAAATGCTCTTTATTCTGGTTCAAATTGTCTTGCCGCCTCCTCTTATGGAAGCTGAATGCAATCCTAGGAATTCGTTGCTCCTTGGCTTTGCCAAGCCTGTTTGTTTATAATTTACTTTTCCATTGAGATCTTCAGGCTTTGAGTGGCACTTTCACCTGTGGGCCAGGGGCAACACTTACCTTTCTTCCCTCCCCTGTGCTTCTTCCATAGTCTAATGCAGAAGTGTCTCTTTGGACTAAAGTTTCCAAAGCTTTGGAAGTCTGGCCAGTATTCCCACAATGCAGGGAGTGAGTCTTAGTCCCCTTTGGACACACTTGTGTCCTGAGAAAACTTGCCCTTCATTTAATTCCTGAAATTCTACTCACTAGATGGCCGTGACTGACTGCTGAGCTGTTGCCTGGGGTCAGGACCACGTCTCGTTGGTAACGTGAGGTCAGGCCAGCACAGATGCCTCTGTGAACTGCGGCTCCAAACCGAGACTTGAGGCAAGATGTTCCATTTTCCGGGCCAGCTGGAGGAGGCCCCTGTTTTCAACTCACTTGGTATTCAGCAAACCATGGATTTTTCTAGGAATGCCGGTGGATGCTCAGGATAAGGGGCTGCTTGCTGGCAGGAAAGAGGGTGCTTGGGCACTAAAGAACAGTCTCACCCTCCAACTCCTTGGATTGACACCCTAGGGAGAATCACCTTGAGCCACTGGGAACAGTATGACAGGTACTTTCCTCTTCTGTCCTCCCACCTTCTGATATAGAGCAGGATGGGGAAAGCTGATGAGAGCAGCTTGTTGCAATGCTTGAGTGGCAAGTCCTTATTCTGTGAATAAAGATGAGTGTTTTGTTTTCAGGAGGAACGAGATGAGTTTTGGATAGTCAGCTGTAGGTCTAGCAGTAATGGTTCTTCTCCGTGTAGCTCCTCTCAGCATGAGTATGGATGGGCTGGAGGAGATGGCTCTGGAGTCTTCTGCAGGGCTGGGCTGAAGCAGTGGCCGTGCTTGCTGCCCTGCAGTACCTGAGCTGACTTTCCTCCTGAAAGTGCCAAATGTAGCACAGATGCATGCAAAGGAGCCACAATTTGCAGTCACTGCCACTAATGGCAGCCGGACAAAGCAAAGGCAGTTCTGTCCCCTGCCCTCCTCCCCTGCTCCACCATATGGCTTCCCTCAACTGTTATGTGTTCCATTGCATTTAGGCACTGCGTGGAGCTGCAGCCAGGAATGTTTTTCTCTCCAAATATAGTCAGACTGATGATTCTGGCCTCTAGTCCAAACCAAATATCCGGACTCGAGAACCTAAAGCTTCCAATAGTCTTCAGAGTTCTGAAGTCACAACACTTCTCTGCACTTGTATAAAAGCAGTCCTTTCAGGGGCTCAGGCTGCTTGATAAAATGCAAAGAACGTTTTAACCTATTGGAAGAGCCAGAACTAAAACGTTAGTCTGACTACCCTCTTGTCCTTGTCGCTGTGCAGCACAGGCTCCCAGAAAGGAGTCTTAGGAGCTGTCTGAAACATCTGAAAAAGGCTTAAATTTTAGCAAGCACTAAGAACCTGAGACCAGGGAGGGCTGCATCTGAGAGACCTTTGAGTATCTTTTGGGATAAGTATCTTTTGGGAAAGCCGTGACATTCTTAAACCTGGGCAGATAACAGGAAAAAACATCGATAGATATGCAGTCTGGTCTTAGTAATCCCTACAACAGCTTTGAGAGGGCTGTATTTGAGGTTTAGCAGACACCCTATTAACAGACTAAATTACCTGAAATCTGAACTTCTTCCTCCTTACCAGCAGCTACAGCTGAGGATTCAGGTAGCGCTTGGGCACCCAGCAATACATCTGAACGTGACTTTTTCAGAAGCAGAAGCAGCGTCAGGACGTGCTCGGTTGAGTTCATGCAACTCTCTTGTCTTCATAAGCCTCACCTGTAGCTCCTGAATGTTTCAGGAGCATAAGTTTCCTCATCCGACTCTGCAACAACAATGTGGAATTTGTCTTGGCCTTACTGCTGAACTGGTTTCTGATGAAATATCTGGCTTATGTTTTAAAGGTTTCAAAAGCATTCTGCAGCCAATGGCTGAGTCTAGTGGCACACACAGGCACTGGATTTTTATGCGGATGTGCACAGTGCACTGTCCTTGGATGGAGGAAAAAGGAACTACCTGCTTTCCAAGAACCCCGTCTGCTACTTCTCTTCTATCAAGACATAAACTGCTTTCTATCTTGAGGAAGAAGCAGGATGCTAGATGGTACAGAGGCCACAAATCATCTCTGCAGCTAAAGATTTCCATTCATGTGGCACAAAAAGGGGAATGGCTACCACGCAAATACAGTCTCTTTCCCCAGCAGCATCCTGAAGCTCCTGGGGAACAACCTGGCTCTGCTGAACTTCAGCAGCTGCATGGATAATTATTCAGAAACAATGAGATCCTGAGCATGCACCTTTAGCAGAGCTCTAGCTTCTAAGTTTTGGCACTGGGAGGGAAGTGAGATACCCAGAGATGGGTATTTTACAAAAGCTTTTGCTTCCTTTATGTTGAGATAAAGGTAATTCCCATGTTCTTTGGGCTATGTGGTTGTGCAAGTTCTCAATTCATATTTTAAATTCAGGCCTCTATAGTCGCATTCAGAAACAGTAAGGCACCAGGTGGGTGGTTGGAAGACCTTTAGGTTTCTGTTCCTGCAAGATTTTATGCCTCATCTCCAGCAAATCTTTTATCCTACACGGTGTTATGTGTCTCAACTTGTAAAATGCAGATAATAGCACTGCTGCACCTTGGAGGCTGACATAAGGACAAACGCTCTGAGAGGCTGTGAGATGCTCAAAGAGGAAAGGATGTCTGTACGAGTGCATAGGATAACAGCATCTTTTCCAAGTGCTGCTACCCCTTAGAAGCCCTCTGAAGGGCAGAGGTACTTGGTGGTGTCAGTTGTGCAGCTGAAACCCAATGTTCTTCCAGCAGTGCATTTGCTAGCAGGTTTTTTCTTTGATGCTGGTGCTACTTTAGTGGAAAGCTAAACTGGTGGAAACTTGGCCAAAGTTTTTGATCCCCAGTCCAAGGCAGGTTTTTATTTCAAGACCGTCTTTCTGCAAATGTGCTCTTTTCTACAGACTCTGACAGCAACTTTTTCCAGAGTCTGAAGACACTGCTAAGTGTAACAATGAGCTGTTGCTTGGTTCTTGTTTCAGACCCTGGTATCCAGCTTCCAMCACAAATAGTTTTGCAAAAGCCTTTTGGGCATGAGCAAAGCAGTTGCTTACAGTGTCTGGCTCTCATGTTTCATTCTGCCAGCTGTGTTTCTGGGGAAGCAGCCTGGCTGTCCTTAGGAAGTTGCTAACATGTGAAATGAGCTTCTACTTCAGACCCCAGGAGCTGCCTGCTCTGTTTTGCAGGAGTTGGAGCCTGGTCTCCTCGCTTCTCTCCTCTTCTTCCTCCCAGTTTTAGTTTCCCTTTGTAATTCTTCCTGTAGCTTCCCTCCACATTACTCTTTGCTTCCTCTCGTATCACTGAACGACTTCTGCAGAGCTTTGGCCCATCTCTGTAGGACGCACATTCGTTCTGCTAGGGGAACTCAGTGAAAACTGAAAAAGAAAAACATTTGTAAAATTATATGCACACTTTTTGGTCATATTTATTTTGAGTTGCTTAAAAATTGCAGGCAAACTTTAATCTGAAGTGCAGAAAACTTCTGAAGAGTCATAAACTTCCTTGTGAACTAGGAAAAAATGTTGAGTCCATTTCTCATTATTTGAGGTGCAAGAAGTTTCCAGTTTTTTAAAGCTTCATATATCTGTTAGGAATATTTCACACTAACTGGTAACAGAGCTAACCCCTCTTTGTTGTTACCCTGCAAACTTAGGGGACTGCACAAAGTTCTTTTTTCCTCTGTCTATTGAGCCATTTAGCTTAGGGCACCATAGCTCAACAGCACTGGGATCCTCTGCAGCCAGACAGAAAATTCCAGCCAGTTTTGAAGCCCTCAGAATTTTTGTGTAAACTTTTTTAAAAAAGCCCTGAATCACCTGAAATCATCTGGAGATGTCTAATTGTTTAAGCTGAGCCAACCACTTCCCTTCTTGAAATCAGTGAAAACTGAGGTGCCCAAAATGGACTTGAATCTGAAAATACTTGTTCTTCTTTCTCAGTGTGATCACCCTGCACTGGATGGCCCTCAATTCCAACACATGGAATTTGCCGGAGTCACTTGCAAAGTTTCTTGTAGGAGGGGCTGCCTTTTTGTTTTATCTAAGCTGTGAATTCCTTGCCCAAAATGCCCCGAGCAGWGAAGTCCTGCCTGTTCTAGCCTGCCTCCTATCTTTCACTGCTCCTGAGGACAGCCCTGACAAATAACAGCTCTGCAGTCACCAAGCATCCCTACCCGATGCGTTCCAAGGGCATGATGCTGCCTTCTGGATTCCTTTTTCACCCCCCCCCTTCAACTTTTTCATTATATAAAGCTGACAACTGCAGGTTTGTTCTCTGCTGATATAGGGTTAAAGAAAGGCGTTCATGTCCATCCCAGCTTATTTCACTTTGCTGATTTTTTTTTTTTTTCTCTGCTCCAGTAATATGATACCACTTGGCGGAGGTTAAGAGAATCTTTGGCACATTGGAAAGAGGCTTAACGTAAAGTCAACTCTTTTTTTTTTTTTTTTTTTTTTTTAAGAGCTTTTTGAAACTCCAGCATTTCAGCACAACTTTGACAGTAACTGCAGGACTTCTCACAAGTACTCCAGATGCAACTGTGAGCAAAAGGATTACCAATGTGTTCAGTGAAGTGAAGGTCTCAGCATCTCTCATCTCTCTCTAAAAAGCATTAAGGAACAATATGGATCCAGCAGAACAATTTTCTGCAAGAGGAAAGAAGAATTTCCTCTCAGCTGACAAGAAGAAAGACAGAGGTTATAGATCTCTTATGGGATTTTTATGCATATTCCCTGTGGTGGCTTTGTTGGCTTTTGTGGGAGACTCTGCTGGAGCTGCAGCTCAGAACAGTCAGGTAGGGGAAGGATCTAATTCTCAGATCCAAGTGTGTGTTTATGTATGTTTTTTAGAAGGCTGCTGAATTTGGGGAATGATCTAAATGATTTGAAAATAACTAAGGCAAAAGGATCTATTTATTTTGCAAAGGATCCTAAAAGGAAATGAAGTGTCTTAACTAGATACAGGTCAGTAAAAATGAGTCTGTGTCTTGCTGACAACTAAATGCTGAAGCTACAGAAGCTCTGGACTTCAGAGCAACCCTCCTGAGTTCCTCTGCTTTCCTAGCCTGGTGCGATGTGGCATGCAACCGTTCTGATATCCTTAGCAGCTGGGCTTCCCTAAGAACTCCAGGGACAGGGCACTTGGTGCAAGATCCAAAACGCCAGTTACTGCAGGACCTGCAGAAGATATTAGGTGGTGCTAGAGCTATTTCAAGTCCATTCATTAGCAAGATATGCTGGTGCTAATTGCTGTTCAGGGACAGCTGGGACTCCTAGATATTAATTCCTAGATCTAATTCTAGATCTTAAAACTGATCTTAATTCTATTGCTATGTTAAACTGCAGAAATACAATCTTCTCTAAAACCTTGCAGCCTTTCCTGTTTGCGGTTATGATGATCCCTGTCAATAGCATCTTTTGCTCATGACTGTTATTAAATTGGTCCTAAGTCACAGAGTATCCTTCTCCTCATTCACTCCAAGCTTTGTGAATATTCAAGACCCTAACCAAGCTAAATGGGGGTCCTCCTGGAATTGGCTGGCAACTTCTCCAGCTCTTAAATACTCTTGCAGTCTTGGCTATTGGGTCTTTAGCATCTAGACAGATTCTTTAATCCAAGTTATACTGTACATTTTTTAATCTGGATTGTTCTCATTTCACTCAGGAACCTTTCTGGTTGTTCTTCCTTCTAGCTTTTAGTATTTTCTTGCCATTGGCTTTGTGTGAGAGCAGGGATATGCTCTTTTGCCTCTCAGAACCTCAGCCCTTCCATAAATAAAAAGGAGAGAGACCTTGTTTTTTGCAGACTGGGCTGTTAACTCATTGTGGTGCACTTTTAGTAGCATTACCACTATGTGTATCACTTATTAGGGGTCTTATGCCTCTGGGGCAAAGTTTACACAGAGATGTTCAGTGTCCTTGTTCTCTCAAGGCAGTGTGGAGCAGACAGATGCAAGGACTATGATGGGTGTCCAGCTTTTATCTCCACTCCTCAGGGTTAAAGTGTTTTTGTAGTTTGAGTCAGGCTTGTTGCTGAATTTAATGTCTTATGACTGCTTTAAATGCACTCTTGGGTTTCCAGTTTAGTTTGAAAGCATTTCAGATCCATGATCCAGCTTTGTAAGGAGCTGTCAGCACAAAGAGATGCCTGTTTGACTTGTGTGGCCAGTGTTCCATTTTTTTCCCCTGTGGTGAGGCTGGAGAGCAAGAGCAAAGTGAAAAGGAAATGAGAACTTTCCAGGAAAACCTGCAGCGCACTCTGTGGCCACAGGCCTGTGGAGGCCTCTTCCTGTGCTCCATGGGTGCCAGGAGGGAGGGCACTGCCCTGCTCTGCTCCCTTGCCTTGCGTGGCAGAGCTAAGTGTGGCTCCAAGTGCTCCTTGCAGTTACCCCTCTTGGCCTCCTCTTGGCTTTGGTCGCCTTTTGAAGCATTAAGCAGCTGTTGTCCCCTGGACCCCCACGGTGGAGTACAAGTTGTGCTCCCTAGGCTTTGAGTGCCCCACGTCTGGTAGGTTGGTGTGGTTTTGTTTGGTTGTTTTCCCAATGTTCAAGCCTTTAATTTCTCCTATCTCTTTCAACCTCTTTTTTGTCTTTTAAGGAAGATGCTGCATCCCCTGCTCTTCATGGAGTGAGTGACTCTGCTTCACACCGGGCAGCCTTCCCACCTTGGCCTCCAACACGGAGAAAACGATACACCATCACCCCAGGACACCTCAAATGGGACCACTTCAACCTCACGTACAAGTACGGACATGCCTTAGCCTAACAGCTGACTCTAAGTGACTCTAAGTATATTACACATATGGCATAGAGCCTGAGTGATGTGAATAGGAATTGCCTTTGTTGCTTGAGAAAAGATGCTGTATAGACTGGGAAGAAGTTGGGGAAAAACTGTTTTGCAAGAGAACTGAGCCTAACATTAGGTGCTTGAGGTAGAAGGAAAAAAMCAAACAAACTGTAGTCTCGAACATAGAATTGTGAAGAATATGAAGAATATTTTAGTCCTTGTGGTGACTTTAGTAAATAGTTCTCGCTAGCAACGCTACCTTAGCTTGGAACCTACTAGAGTAAAAGGAAAGGGTTGGCTGTTTGCTGCAAACTTGCCAGCAATGCCTGGGAAGGGACCAGTCTCATCCTAAAGCTGTTCTGTGTCCCTACAGAATTCTGTCCTTCCCAAGAAACCTCATAAATGCCAGTGACACCCGCAAGGGCCTCGCAGCTGCCTTCCGCATGTGGAGCGAAGTGTCGCCGTTCAGCTTCAGGGAAGTGCCCCGCCACGCTGACAGTGACTTGAAAATCGGTGAGCGCGCACGGCGGCTGTGCTTCGACCATGCTGCGCCATGCACCCACTCCTCAAGGGACTTACGAGTTCACATCTCAAGCAGGAGGGCAGAGGCAGGAGACAGAGCAGCTGATAAGAGGCCAGCTTATGTCTTGTCTCCCTTTTGTGGAGCCTGTTGAAACACCACCTTCTCTCTCCTCTTCCCTTCCTTCTGCCCCATGCCAGGTTGCAGGCTCACCGGCAACTTCATGATCCTGCCAGGCCTAGGAAAGCATTAATGCTGAGGTGTTATCTGCTCAGTCTCAACCCCGGATAGAAATTCTTCTTGTGACTTACGGGCTGTGAGAAATAACTACTTCCTGTGCAGCCTACAGCAATAGCAAGACAACCAGCAGCTTTTTTCCTTCTTTTGCAACGTGGCCCTCGCACTCCGCTCACCGCTCCAAGCATGGGAGATGCTTTCCCTGCGGCCTGGCCACCACATGTGGGCACCAGGTAGCCTCATTCCGGCATGTGCAGAGTGGCTACCTGATCTAGCACAGGGATGTCAAGCAGCCCTGGGCCTAAGGACGCCCGTTCATCTCTGTTTCAAATGCTAGTGCATAGTGCAGGGCAGGGTTATAGTCTCACCGTCCAACTTCCCTTACAAAACAAAGAAGTTTCCAAGTCGTGTTACACAAAGAGCTCGGCATTCCTTTCTGACAAGTAGACTCATTTCTGTCTGTTGGAGACAGCTCTAAAGCCAGGGTCACCATGGGGTGAGTGGAGTTTGCATCACTTAACCCTCATTTGGGACAACTGCTTTGCATTTGTTTTCCCTTCTGTATCTCTGTAGAGTGGAAATCACATGGGAGACCATAAGGAGAGATGTATTAGTAAACCACAAGTTTACAGATGGAAGGTATGCTAAATGTGCTTTCTCTTTCACAGGCTTCTACTCTATCAACCACACGGACTGCCTGGAATCTCTCATCCACCACTGCTTTGATGGAACAACAGGGGAACTTGCCCATGCCTTCTTTCCACCTAATGGGGAAATCCATTTTGATGACCACGAATACTGGATATTGGGGAATACCCGGTTCAGCTGGAAAAAAGGTAACACACATTTCAGGATGCACCTAATGCCTGTAGGTTTTAGATTTTTGAGGGTCCCTTTCCTGATTTACCTACTCTTGGGAAGAGACAACAGAAACAGCTGTAAGTTTTCTGCAGTTTTGGACTTTTGCTGATCTTGAGATTCAGCTGTATCAGACCTTGTGTTTGGTGGCAGGTCCAGCTGTTTCTGAGTAATTCAGTGGACTCCAGCCATGGACACAAGAGTTGGGCTTAGGCCCAAGCAGCTGTATCTCTGGGAAGGGCTGGGTTATGTGACTTGGACTTGCTGATAGGACTGTTTACATTTTAATTTTCCTGGATCCATTTCAGGTTTGTAGGTACCTAAATGAGTCTGTGTTACTTATGGCTCAGAAATTATTTTTTGTTGCTTTTTAAGCAATGTCAAAACAAACCTGAAATTAAAAGCAGATGGTCCCTACTTTGTTAGCAAACTCAGCTGATAGTATATGACCAACCTCGTACTTTTTTTTTTAAAGGATGACAGTTTGCTTTTTGCCAAATAGAGAAGTAGAGAGATTCAGAATAGTGTCAAAGATCGCCCCTTCCCTCTTGCTTCCCAAAGCCCAGCAATAATGGGATGAAGGCCAGGGAGGGCTGATTTTTATAACTTGTTAGTTTGTATTTTGCAAGATATTCAGCTCTAAAAAAATACTATTCTCCATCAAACTCCTACCTACTGGTAACTATCAGTGTTAGTGTGTATCAGTCATCATTTCAAACATTGCTATTGCACTGCAGTGTTCCTGCTGTCTGGCGGTTGCTCTGTGTACTACTGTTTGAAATTAAAAACACATGTAACTAATTGGTTTGTCTATTTGTACCCAAGCAGCTACAGAGAAGATGAAGTTTTGGTAACAGTATAGTGCTAAAATATGTCCTGTTTATTCACCAGGTTAGCAAATGCACTCCACCATTCAAGGGCAGCTGTTTTTCCATTTTTCTTCCAGGTGTTTGGCTTACAGACCTGGTACATGTAGCAGCTCATGAAATAGGACATGCCCTAGGACTTATGCACTCCCTGAACCCCAGTGCCCTCATGCATATCAATGCCACCTTGACTGGAAAAAAGACCATCTCTCAGGATGAAGTCTGGGGAATTCACAGGCTTTATGGTAAGGAAGGCAGAGAATTGGGTTGTGCTCTGGGATTCTCTGTATGACGAATGAATATGAATAAGAATAATGAAGAATATGTTTGGCTAAAGCGTCAGGCAGAACCTGACAAGCTCTCATGGTGCTATTTCCTCAGCTTGTGACAGGACCAAGTTGTAAACTCGTTAAGAAGTAGCACAAAAGAAACTTTTTTTTTTTTTTAAGTGAAAGGTGAAGGTAAAAGCAGATGTGGTGTAAATAGCTCTCTGGCTGGACTAGGATATGTTAATACCAGGCAAAGCTCTCCCCAGACCAAACAGGGTGCAGCAAGAAGCTCCTAAGCTCAGAAACAACTGCCTGCCCMTCCTGGAACACCTAAATCCAACCTGTTGCAGGGTTTGGCAGAGGCAGCTTTGTTCTATCACTGATGCAACTCCCTGAAAGAACCTGAATCTCACGCACTGCTCCTATAAAGCTGGGACCCTGCTCCGTTTATCATACACTGTCCCACCTCTGCCCTTTGCACTGAATAGGCAGTTTATTTCTCAGAGGGAATCCCCCTAATAATTTGTTTCCTCCTGTTCCAGGATGTAAAGACAGACTGTTCATGTGCCCATCATGGGCACGAAAAGGCTTCTGTGAGAAACGCAGGAAGTTAATGAAAAAGCACTGTCCTTCTACCTGTGACTTCTGCTATGGTATCTTGCTTTTCCTCTAGGATTGGGGTGGGGCTTGGAAAAAGAGAGGGGTTACATTAAGGAAGCTATGGAGAAAATGCTATTAGCTGTAGCGATAGACAGGATCTTAATTCTGCATGAGAGTACAGAAGCTGTGAGTACCCAGCACTAATGAGTGTCACAGCCTGCATCTGATCCAGGACTGAGCCTTGGAAAGCTCAAGTTTTACATATAAATACTTGTGGACTAGAACGTTAAACTATCACATAAACCAATGGTGAGGGGTTTCTGAAAAAACACAATCACTCCATATGCCTGAAAACATTCCCATTTGAGTCCAAACTGAAGAACTGAGATGATGAAACATTAGATTAGGAGTTAGGAGATGCAGTACGGTACCTGTTGCATTTATGGGACAGGAACAAAGCAAATGAAACCTCAGGCACAGCCAGACTTCACTTACTCTGGAGAAGAGGAAATAAGAAAAACATGTTAATCATCTCATCTACTGTGTCACTGCTATGAATCCAGACAAGGGGATACTAAAGAATAAAGGTCAAGCTACCGCAGACGTGGAATTAAGCTTTAGATAAATACCCGCTGACCTTAGGAAGACACACCGTATACATACTGTCTCTTGCCAGTACAGAGGTATTTTTTAGTGCAGACTAATGATAAACGACAGTTAGATAGTTGCAAATATTTATATTCTCTGGGATTATTTGTCTACTGAACTTTTACCCCTCCAAGGATATAAAACAGGGGTAAGTTGCTTTATAATCCATCTGAGTTCATGTGAAACAAGGGAGTTATCTTTGCATATAAACAATGTCTAACATTCAACCAGAGTTGCTGCGTAAAACACATTTTTTCTTTAATCCCTTTAAGGTTCTTGGGGTGATAAAGTGATAGTGCAGTCTATCAGTACAGGATAGTGCAGGATTTTGGGATGACTAAAGCTTGATACCAAAATATTCTAACTTTTGCCATTCCATTTTCTCAACTGTTGGACAGAATTCCCATTTCCAGCAATCCCCTCTACTTTGCCCCCACCAAGGACAAAAACCAAGACTGTTTCTGAAGGCAGGAATGTCACCTTTCGCTGTGGACAGAAGATCATTCACAAAAAAGGCAAAGTTTAGTAAGTGCTTTGTCATTTATTCCAAWTCTTTAGGGCATTTAGGAGCTTACATACAAAAAAAGAGAAATAATGAGGAAGTATGACAAATTAAAGTGTACATAAGAGTGCAGTTCACCTTCTGGGGCATGTGACTGTCCTTTATTTGGCACTCAGAGAAAAGAAGGGGTGAGGAAATGACTGCTAGGTGTGACATAAGGGATGGAATGGAAGAAAGGAATGTGCAAATATTGTTTTTAACATTTAGTCTGAAAGCAGAGCTATCAGAAATGGAAAAGCTGAACTGAAGAGGGTAAAATCCAGGTCACAATTATGGATGCGTCCAAAGCTGATAGCTCTGAGGCCCCAAATTCCCACTGACTTTCACTAAGATTCAAGCTCCTGCTGCTACTCTTTCTTGTTTAAGAAAAGAAGCATCTACATTTTCAGTAGACGATGGTGGTTGTAACAGGATATATCCACACTAGGTTGTAATAGACTTGGTTTAAGCAAAACTAACGAGCACAGAGGACCACTAACACATAATACTTTATAGGGGATGTTCCCTAATGTAAATTCTGTTATTTTTCTGTTGTTTTTCTTTTAACAGCTGGTATAAAGATAAGGAGCTTCTGGAATATTCATACCCAGGTTACTTATCCTTAAATGATGATCACATGAGCATCATTGCAAATGCAATTAATGAAGGAACTTACACATGTATAGTAAAGAAAAAAGAAAGAATTTTGACCACTTATTCCTGGAGGATCAGACTGAGGCACTAACAAGGCCCTGGAATAAGAACTTCAGTTATTGCTAGTTGTTTCTAAATCTTTTTCCTTTAGCATTTTATATTTAATCTGCAGCAGTGCAATTGAACTTTTAAATTGACTGCTTCCATGATTTCGTCAAGAGAGACTTGAGACTTCAGTTTTGGGAAAAAAAATTCAAGTTATTTTTAATGATTAAGAATTTATCAAGCTTGTCCTGTACAGACAGTTAATAATATTAATAAAATTAATAATTACCAAACCTAGGGTCAGATTTTCACAAGTTAAAAGACCCATTCCTACAGACTGATGAAAAACACAAAGGAAATCTCTAATCTGGTAGGTGGATCAACAGACTGATGCACTGGTTGGGTATCTGCCTCAGAAACCAGCCCATGGAAGCCTTGGTGCATCCCTGCACAACGTGTAAGCTCACTTGGACAGAGATGGATTCATCCCTGCCTTCACACTGGGGCTTTCATGGACTCAAGATCGAAGGGGTGTCATTAGTGCAGCTCTATCCTTAGGATTTGGAGAAGAGAAACAAGAACCAGCTGATGGCCAGAGCCACCAAAAACCATTGCAAGATGTCAACGGTTTGGCCACCAGCCTACCTTCTTCCCAGACCCTGGAACCCTGCATGTTATAGGATCATTACTTGTTAAATTCATAGCTTCCATTTGTTGAAATGCAGATTTGCTGATATGGAAAACACTTCAAAAGTCTGGAGCTATCCTCAAGGTAAGCAACAAATATTGCTTTATCTTAGATTATAATTTGATTTTTTAAAATCTGAAATAAATCAAGAGCAAAATAAGTACCTGAAATCCTGTGATGCACCATATTCTCATGCAGTGGAATTTCCACTTTGGTCCAAATTATATACTTTGCAATTCTTCCACAATGCTGAAATCAGATGTTTAACCTGCCATGACTTCAAACTAGTTAAATACTGTAAAATTGTTTCTGATCAAACTGACTTTAACTTATTTTCTCCTCTCCTTTGCCCTTACATAACTTGCATATGATTATAAACAAATACATCCCCCATCAACAACAAAAGTCCTGATTTAAGTTAGACCACGTCAGAAAGATGCTTCCAATTGCAGGTGAAAGGCGGGTTCAAAAAGTTAAATATCACTGGTAATTGCACATAAATTGTACATAAAGTACAACTACTTTTTAAGTATTTTTATCCCTTTTTGTTTCTCATATATTTATTTAGTATGAATAAATAAGCTTAGGCTTCAACTTTACCATCACATCTAGCCAAGAGTACAGGGTAGTAAAAAATGTAAAAATCCATCTTTTGTATGGACAATTACAATCAGGATAATAAACTGCAAGTACTGTGTGCAAAAACAGACATTTGTGCCAACCTAAAAGCTGCACTGTGGCAACTGAACAATGCCTCTATGCTGAGGAAGAGCTGATATTCTCCTTCTATGAAGGAAACTGGAATTACACATACCTCTTAGAACTACATCAAATTCCCACTATAGTTCATTGATTTTTGCCTATTTTTTAAAACTAAAACCATCTAACTTAGATGAATAATCCTTTCTTTTTGTCAGGGAATCAGACCTGCCATGCATGATGCTGCAAGAAGGCCAAGGAAATTAGAAAGGAAATAATGTCACAGAGTGCAAGATGCACAATAGAGCTTGAAGCACAAAATACACAGTCACATTTTTTATCCTTACAGATTATCAAGGTCATGGGAAAATGGTTCTGCTGTGCTGCAGTCTGTGGTATGTAGGAGATAAACTGCTTTTTCATTGCTTATTGATCTCTGCATATAACCATCATGGAAGAATCTCAGAATTCATGCATACTTCAGTAACAAACCAGTAATAGACCTGTTTCTCCTCCAGGATCAGGAAATCAGGCCTAAAGAGAAAATAGCTCTGTCTTCCTTCACAGAAACAGCCTTTTTCAAAGTTTACAATTTTAGTCTACCTCAATTCCAGTTCCCAGGCTCTTATGTCCAGTAACATCTCCTAAAATGCACTGAAGTCAGGGGAACATCACTTAAGTTAAGCCTCTTACTGGACTGGTGCCCAAGTCTGGCTACATGCAATATTTTGCAGTGATTTCCAAATCTTCTTGTCCCAGAAAAGAATGATAACATTATAAATTAAGAGACTCAAAATACTGTGACATTCCAACTTGATTCCCTTTGTGAGAAATTATATTATACAGTCAGTACAACTAATCTTTTTTTTTTTTTAATGGAAAAATGGGATATTTAAAAGAAATTTGATAGGAAATAAAGTTTCAAGTGTCCATAATAAATCTTTCTTTCTGATTTATAAAACAATATATTAGTTCTGTTGCACTGGTACCACTGAAAAATACATGTATGAGACAACTCTGTGAAGTGGTCAGTCCACTGGTACACTCAAAAACGTTGTCAGCAACTATCAAGCATACCCAAGCCTCTGCAAGGCACAGAAAGAGAAAGAAACCCCATATGTGTCATGATTTCTTGCCCAAACCACTACCCTCAGCCACATCCTTCTTGCAAAAAGGTTGGTTTTGTCCTGGCTAACAATATGCTGTAACAGCTTAAGCAGCATCTAGGGAAACAGAGGAAAAAAAAAAAAAAACCTCTCTCAGAAGTTTCCACTCAAGCCTTAATGCCACCAACATCCAAGTTTTCTGCATGTGAAGAAATGAAATCCTTCACACTATTAAACAATTAAAAATGTATTTTAATTCTACAAATTTACAAGCAAAAATACCCTTAAAAACAACAACAACAAAAAAAAAAAAAAAAAAAAAAAGTTCCAGGATTGTACTTCAAGTTTTCCTTTGTCAAATTTGACAATGAACCTTGACTTTTCAGGTTAATTCCAGTCCTCTAAATGGAATGCAGCAGACAGTTAGTTACACTCCGTGCCCAGCAACAGCCTTTGAATCTGTGATGACATTTGTTTTTTTTTTTTTCCCCCTGTAAAAAACATCCAGTCTCCCTGATGTGAAGAACAGAGCTGGAGCACTCAAAAATCCACTCACATGAACAGTTTGGGGTTTTTGTTTGTTTGTTTCTTCATGGTAAATTTAGAACTTGAGGCTGAAACCAGGTCCTGCAGCAGATGCTCCCTGATTTGTGGTGGTCAGATGAAAACCTGTGTCTTTCAGATCATCATCACCCTGGGAAAACCAAACATAATTCAGTTATCAGCACATGTCAATGAACATGTTTCTTTCTCAATAGAAAAGCCCCTCCAAAAAAAAAAAAACCCCAAAACAAAGTATCCCTAGAAGAGAGAGAAAGGAAAACCTGCAGCTTTGAAAGCTTGGCTGGAAGTGAAAGGCAATGTGCACTTGCAAAAGAAAAACTGTTCTAAGAGCAGGCATCACTCCTCCCAGCTTATGTATTGCAATAATGATTCTGCGAATACGAGAGCAGTTGGATTTCAAGTTCCACAAGACAAAGAGAACCCAATCTACATCAGCTTTCCAAAAGTAGAACTTGGACATGGATTAAGATAGCAAAAAGTCTTTGCCCAATTTCCTTGGGCCACTGTACCTACCAACTGACTATATCCAAGGCCTCCCTCCGGTGGTCGGGGGCTAGTGCCGCGTTTCACCCGTTGTTGTTCACTTTTTGCTGGCCACGTGGGAAACATGGAGGGGTCAATAGGAAGGGGAGTTTCTCGAAAATATTCGTGCTTCAAACCATCTTCGGCAGTGATTCTTCTGGCTGGATAGTATGTCAAAAACCTGAGAAGAATTTAGGAAGGCAATGAAGTTGATAATAAAGGGAAAAAGATACTTAATTCAGTTATATGCAATTCCATTGCTTTAACAAGATCAATCAACAGACTGCATGATGGCTGACTCATGAAGTAAGCATGACACGAGTGACATAAAAATATCACTAAAACGGTATTCTATCTTTCTAGGATATCAGTGTGTAAATGTAATCTTGGATTGAGGTGACAGCGGCTGTTAAAGCCTGTGGCACACTGAACAAAGTTGCTGGGAGAAAGAAAAGCAGCACCACAAAGAAATCTCACAGACAAATCTGGAAACCATCTACAAATGTGGACTAGAAATTAACTGCATTGAAACACTATGCTTCAGTCATTCTCCGTAGCTAACATATCCTGCGAGCACCTTTTCCCAAGGATCCCTGGAAGACAGCACTTACTTGTTCATCAGATCAAACCCTTGATCAGAAAGGAGCGCTCCAAATCTCTTGCGCAGATTGTTATAGGGATACTCTGTGAATGTCATCTTCTTTACAGCTGGCAGCTCGTTGTAACCAGGCCAGATTTTCTCACTTGGAGTACCCAGGTCCTATAAATTAAAATATCTTGACTGCAGCTTTCCTGCTTATTCATTATATAGCTATAGGAGTTCACAACTAGCCAGAGAAAAGAGACAAAACAAGCCATGATCTTAATGCCTTCTTGACAGTGAGGCTGACAGAGCACTGGAACAGGCTGCCCAGAGAGGTTGTGGAGTCTCCTTCTTTGGAGATCTTTAAAACCCGCTTGGATGCAGCCCTGTGTCATGTGCTCTAGGTGACCCTGCGTGAGCAGGGGGGTTGGACTAGATGACCTCTGAGGTCCCTTCCAACCTTMRGCATTCTATGATTCTAATCCGATATACCTACTGTAAACAAGAATCAAAATATCAAGCCCTTTACTAAGGCTGAAACTTGGTGAAAGAGTGTCAAATATTTTGATTTTGCTACTACCCTCATACACCTGCCTCCAAAACCATCAGTTAAAAATCAAAAGATGTTAAAAATGTTACCTTAAAAACTTTGTTAATCTGGTCAATTTCTGACTTCCCTGGAAACAGCGGTTTCTGAGTTAACAGCTCTCCAAATATACAGCCTACTGACCACATATCTATTGCCGTTGAATATTCCTGAAAAAAAAGAAAATATATTATACATTATGAAATTATTAAGATGATTTATTGAGTAGCGTTAAGAGTCTACCATCCTGAACAGAACACATACTATCATTTCCATGCCTAAGGCATAGCTATCAACTTTATTTTATTTAGAAGTCAAAGTTACTGCAGCTTGTACTCTGGTACAGATTTTTTTTTTAAATACAATCATCTCACCTGTCATAAGAACATATATCATTATTCCTCTTTGATAGACCACTGAGACCCTTAGTGTAGGGCTTCTCTGACTTTTGCACTCATCTTTCTGGTGATTATGAAGTACTTTTTTCAGGTGTATTGATTTCATCCAGTTTTCAGTTATGAAACTGGTAATCAGTAGAGAACACAATCAAAATGTTTCTAGTACCTTGTTCTGCTACCGAGTATCATAAATTTTAGAGTGAGGTGAAAAAAATCCAGCTGCTTAACATGAAAGTTTCCAGTAATCCGTGACAAGGAGGCCAGTAGCTCTAACACATCAGCATCCTAAAGGAGAACATTTGCATCACCCACCTACCCTCTGCCTCTGGAAGCATGAACCTTTGCAATGGTTTTATCAGGAATAACAAAATAGAAATTATTCAGTCTAAAAAGTCATTCTTCCTGCTCACAGAGGAGCAAGGGGAAACATACCTTGGCACCAAGCAATAGTTCTGGAGCCCTGTACCAAAGTGTCACAACCACAGGGGTGTAAGGCTTCAGCGGAGATCCGTATTCTCGGGCTAGTCCAAAATCCCCAACCTGAAAGAAAATCAGTTTTCAGCAATATTTCCAGGACTGACCATGCCTCTTACTTACACAGTATTGACCATATTGGCTACTGTGTGACCTCCAGTCTTGAAAAAGAAAATTTCACTTAATCCTTACCTTTAAAATGCCTGAATGACTAAGCAACAGATTGGAAGTTTTCAAGTCTCGGTGAAGAATCCAGTTGTCGTGAAGATGTTTGACTCCCCGCAATAACTGAATCATCAATGTTTTCACTTCACCTGAAGGAATAAAAACAGGCCTCTTTTTTTTTTTTTTTTTTTTTTGGTTGTTGTTGCTGTTGATCTGATGCCTAATTTCACCCTAATCATGCAAATCGGATTCATCAGCCAAACATCACTTTGAGTAACAGCACTGGCAGCTCCCTGTCCTATCATAACCTGAATCAGCTGAATCACATTATCCAGAGAAAAGGCAATAAAGACCTCATTCCACAGAACATCCAGGGGACAATCCAAGACCTCATACAAGATAATTCCCCAAGATAAGTACAGCCCAAACACCCTGAGGTCTTYACAGCTCATTTTCCCAGCCTGAGAATTATAGCAGACTGTGGCAAACAGTACCTGGTAAAAATGGTTGCTTCATTGTTTCCATTAGACTCTTGAGGTCATGTTCTACATAGTTCATCACGATATAGATTTTGTCCATATTACTACCTACAACTATTTCCTAAAACAAACAAAAAAAAAGAAATGATCAAATCAAGCACACGTTATTTAAAAAACTTGCATGAATTAACTTTAAAAAAGTACTGAAAATAGGATAAATACTATCTGCCATTGGTAATGTTCATAGAAAACTTAAGACTAGATGTCCAAGACAAAAGTACACTTCTATAATTGATCAGATTTTGTCGAGAGAAGCATCATCTGCTTAGTTTTGCAAATGGCACACGACTACTTAGAGAAACAAGCTCTGCTAGGAATGTTAACATTTTTGTAAGGTGTTTTAATAGTGGAGATACAACATTTCAAGGAAAAAAAGAAACTTCAGATAAAAGGTTGGTGGCCTTACTCTGACAGTGACAATATTTGGATGTTGTGCTTTCAGAATAGTATTTAT